GGAAGAAGATATGTAAATTCCCCGTAGTCTAGATGAGCCCCCGGGGGGGGGAGCGCGAGTAGTCAAATAGTGATTTGACTAGTCGACTACTTGACTAGTTGCTTACATTCCTAGTGGAAACTAGACACTGTAGGGTAACTAGGTTTTGTAACTGTGGTTATCCAGGTATATTCCACTTCTGGTGCACATGCACCCCAAAGGTTCACATTCAGATTATTTTGGTTGCGTATGTTATGCTCCACCACCCAAGGGAATAAATAGAGAAGTGCCAAATGCCCTAAATTTCTTCCCCAATAATCCAATTGACATGCAAAATCCCATTTAATTAGGTAACTGGTTAAACATATTTCACTGATTAACTGACTGAAGGGGGATGGGGCAAGGGCTGCTCCAGCTCTGCCAGAGCAGCCACCATCTGCAACACACCCAGGTCTTTCACAAATGATCATGAATGATCTGTTAACTGCCTTATGAGGCAGCCTGCCAGAACAGCCCGCAAGCCTGGTAAATGGAGGGCAACCACAAAGCAGTTGGCATGTTTGGCACAAAATCAGAGTCGGAAATCTTACTGAACAAAAGCAAAAGGATCGTGCTCCTTCCTGCCTGTTTCTACAAGACGTTACTGTCATGTCACCCATTATATCTAGACCATCAGTTCTCTCATTATGGGAGGGAATGCTGTGTGTGTCCAAAAACTGCTTTCAACCCCAGTATATTTATGTAAAGGCAGGTTTCCAGGAGGATGAGGTAGGGAAATTATATAGAATATGCCACCTGAATGACTTCTAAGGTTCAATGACTTGTAGAGATGAGGTCCCAGGCTCCACAAAAGTATATAGTCTCCACAAAAGGGGGAGGGGAGCACAAAGAGCCTTCAGATGGTGTAAACTGCTCTCAACCAAGATCACAAAGTAATTGCTCTGATGTAATCACAGGTTGATTAGCCAATGAAGGAATGGTAGAGGATCTCCTTATTACCTCTGTTTAGGCTACATTTGTGGTCTGGCCTGCTTCCTTTGTGGTGCAGGCAGATCTTTGAGCCACTTGTGAATCTGTCAGTAAGAGTGTAGCCTCATTTCATCAGTCAAAAGATCACAGCCTTCAAATGGCAGGTCCTCAGCAACAGTAGTAAGTATATGAGATTAATAAATAAAGAGATCAACTTAAGAGTTTATTGTAGGAATCCCAAAAGCAGGTCTTAAGGAACATTAAAAAACAGGGCTCTGCAGACTAGCTCCAAAAAATGTTTTATATGTAGCAAGTGACATAGTATGTTCCATGAGGAGAGATTAGCAATATGAGTCGTAAGAAGTGTTATGGCTAACAATGAAAAGGATGGCAGTGACAGTAAGAAATAAAGGCTTAGGCACATAATGCCCAATGAAATCAATGGAAGTTAGGTCTCTAAATAGCTTTGAAGATCTGGGCCACAGATGATTCAGAACATGAGGGTAGATGTAAATAGATTCTTGTACTCAATTACAAGTAGCAGCAAAGGGACAAGGGAGAGCATGGAAGGATTTAAAAGGAACGGGGCTGAGAATGGTCATAACGACATGTAAGAAAATAACTTTGTGGTTGTGTTTTACATGGAGTGAAATGGAGTGGATAAGGAGAGATACTGGACTCAGTGAAGAGGATATAATAAATTGATCATAAAGGACTGGATGAATGTTATATATGTGGGTAAAAAGAGCTGGGTCTTAAAAATGTTATGAAGCAGTAAGCTTTTAACAATATACAGTAGACTTCTAATAATCCGGAACCTTTGGGACCTAGGTGGTGCCAGATTATTCGATATGCCGGACTATCAGGAGGTACTATAAAATGGTACGGACTATCAGGAGGTACTATAAGATCGTATATACTGTATATAAAATGTTTTTAACCCTTTTTATCATAGCACTAGCACTGTCCAACGTGTCACAATGCCAGTTGCAGACTGACTCGGTCCCATCCAGTTTCGCTCAGTTCAGCTGCTGCCTTGTGACTCGTTTTTTGCCGAAGCTCACTCACTAGGCTCTTGCTATTTTGATGCCAAACTATCGGGAGTGCCATATAACTAGATGCTGGACTATTGCGAGTTTTACTGTAGAATGTGGAGGACATAGTCACCTACTTTATTCCTTACACATTAAACACATACCTGTTAATAAAGCAATTTATTCCATGCTTAAGAATGCGTTCAACCTTCTCTTTCATTTTTTCTTTTTCGGCTTGTTCTATTTCTGCTACCTTTGCTGTCGAATCCACTCTTACACGAGAGCCAAAGACCTAAATTAAAAACAAATACAGTAAGACTCCAACTGTCCGGCATCCAGTGGTCCAGCTTTCCCAATAGTCCAGCAACAACTGGAACCCGGAAATGCTACGGCCAGCCAGACAACTGGAGCTGCTGTGGGCCCCATGGGTGCTCGCGGCTGGGAAAGGGAAGGGGAGAAAAAGGAAAGGGGATTATACCCCTGTGATGGGTCTGCCGGGTCCTGCATTGCGACCGGCCAGGGGGTGGGGGTAGGCAGGGAATGGCTTTGGCAAAGGGCAAACCCTCCTCCGTTTTGCAGGAAGGCAGGGGAAGCCCCACGCCGCCATCAAACGTAACCAGGAGGGGAGCGGGCTCTCCACCCCCCAGACTGCAGTAATTATTGCAGAGCAGGGGGGTGAGGGGCAGCGCTGCAGGACCAACTCGGCAGCACCCCAACTGCTCTGCAGCTTCCCCAAGTCCGCCGCTCGTCAGTTTCAGCAGCGGCGGACTTGGGGAAGCAGCGCCGAGCAGAGCAGCTGGGGTGCTGCCCGGTTGGTCCCGCAGTGCCGCCCCTCACCCCCCTGCTCGGCGATAACTACTGCAGTCTGGTGGATAGGGAGCCCACTCCCCTCCCGGAAACTCTCAGTGGCGGCGTGGGGCTTCCCCTGCCATCCTGCAAAATGGCGGAGGGTTCGCCCCTCGCCGTGCCATTCCCCGCCCACCCTCCTGGACGCAGTGCGGGTCCCCACAGACCCGTAACAGCCCCCCGCCGGAGTATCTCCCAATACTCCAGTATATCCGATAATCCGGCACCACCTAGCTTCCAAAGGTGCCGGATTATCGGAAGTCTAGTGTATATAAGATTTGAAAATTAACTTAATTTACAAAGAAGATTTCTACTACATTAATTACCTACCTTAATTTTATCTGTATCCATGCCAGTGTTTGCAATAAGTATCTTTGCATTTTCAATTCTTTTGGGCTGGTTGACGCCAATCTTTTTGTCTAGCAGAAAGCCTAAAATGAAAGAGAAAGTAGCAGAATCTCAGCAGGCCTTAAAATATTAAAAGGACACCTTCTGAAATGTGTCAAACATTTATAAAGATTCACCTAAATCTAATAGCAATGCTTCCCGGAAGCAAATACAGAGAGATGTATATAACTCACGTATAAGATTAAATTTCAATACTCATATAAATATCTGAATAAAACATACCTTCATCTAAGTAAGAGTCCACCAGACTTCCACCTAGTTTCTTGATAATATGGATAGCTTCCAAATTACCAGATCCTTTCAGTCTAAGAACAGCTTCCACTGCTAGTTTAGTAAAGTGGTCTTTATGATGAGTAAGTAGTTTTGAGGATAATGTGGTTCCTGCAATGTTCATTAAGTCTTCACGGAACTTTATTTCATCATCTCTAAAGTAAACACAATGTAGCCAAGTGAATAAAATTAAATAGACAGGCCTGGAGCAGCAATTTAACTGACAATGACAACCACTACACTCATATATACACATTTATATAATACATTTTTCCTCATCATTCTTGAAGTGATGAGCAAATATTTCACCACAGAACACACTCACTACTTAGGACATGAATCTGAATAAAAACACCTCTTGAAAAGGAGTTGGTGCTCAATGAAAAACAAACCACTACATGGCATGCTGAACTTCTTCATGCACATATTGACGCTTCGCACTTATCTAGTGCTTTCACCTATGCAGCTCAAAGCACTTAATGGCGTGTAAGAATCATCATCCCCATCTTGCAGATGGAGAAAGGCACAACTAGAAACAGTACTCTGACCTGGTTTGACATAAGGCAAGTTGCTTATTTCTTAATGGGCATGACTGGGAAGATACATGGAAGGTTAAGTTGTCATAAAGAACATGCTGGAGTCAAGGTGGCTAGTTAAGATCAGCAGTAATATCCTGATATTAGTAAAAAAGCACAAATATGAGAAAAACTGAAGGTCAGATTACACAAACAGCACATGCTGTACAGAGATTTGGGCTGGAAAAGTAACCAAGTAAATAATCACAAAGTGCACGATGCAACATATAGTTAGGAGCTAGTGTTTTAAAGAAGTGTTACTGTATTTAAATCCTGAGCTTCATTTGCAACTTCGAATGCCTACATTAGCCACCCTAATTTGAACTAGGATGGCAGTGTAGACATACCCTTACTGAGCTCAATTCTCAGTTAAAATAAAGCCTCATACCACCATCTTGGCTGTGTAAAGAGGTCTTTAAATTAGCAGAAATGACCCAGAAAATGCCCCTTGTGCAGATGCCTAGCAATGGCAAATATTCTATATGGCCATTTGCAGCCTACTACTTGCAAATTTTGTTGAAGGGGACCATATTATTTTTGGACAAATTATACTCTGGTTAAACGGCTATATTTTTTAGTATTTTAAAATAATTTGTTTTTTTAAATGTCTTTACAGGTTTTTTTATTTAAAATATTGCCTATACCATATTATATTTGAAAGTAAAGAAATAAAGAAAATCAAAACATCAGTTTTTCTTCCACTGACTAATTTTCATCTACATTTAATAACACTAGTCATGACAACCAAAGAAGGTTATTAGTGTACATTTAAGGTATTTACTAACCCATGATCCACTGCAGATTTCAAGAGGGCCTCTCTTGCTGTTTTTGTAGCTTCTCTCCAACCTGCAATGATCGTTTGAGGATGAATCTTCTTAGAAATCAATGATTCTGCCTCCTATTAACATAAAAAGTGTAATTTATTTCAACATCAAATTTGAAGTGAAGAGACCAATATATTCTGAAAGATAATTTAGTCTTTTCAACATTAAAAAGGAGACATTTGATTAACAACATAACTAAAATGATCAGAATAACTTTAACATGAATGATTTAGGAAATATATATATTTATCTTCTAATCCTGCAAATACAGATGTTGTCATTCATGCTGCTACTAATTCCAACATAAGCAACAAATATGATTCAAGGACCACCCTGAATAAAGATCATCTGGAAGCTTTGTCTAGTGCAAGCCATACCTATATTTTGAACAAGGAAGGATTTAGTCTAAAAATATGCAATTCTGCATTGGCTTCCTGTTCACATAAAGGTGCAATATAGGGTACTGGTAAGAAATCTTCAAAGCATTGGTTGGCCTGGGATTCAGTTAGCATGGAGATGACCTATCACCTTAAGCCCTGTCATTTCAGTTAAAATCAACAGATGTTCTTGCTGTCTGTTCCCCAAGCTAAAATCTCTAAGCCTAGTGGCAGTCTCTGTTAGCAGGAGATCCTTGCCTTTGAAATTCCCTCCACTGGTATCCCAGAGTCAAAGCTCAATAACCTTCAGAGTCAGGATGACAGTTAACTGGTTCAATGGATGCTACCAAATCAATTTAGGTCTTCCAAAAATTAAACATTTACAAAGCCTCTCAAAAATGTTTTTCTGAATTCACTGGGGAAAAAAATATTTACTGGGAGTCTTTTCCTAAAGTGCTTGCAATCAAACTCCGTATCATTCTGCTAACCGCAAGAGCCAGAAAATGAAACTGATAATGAAACTGTTTTACTTTTTGCATATCAGGGAGGAAGACAACATAAATGAAGTAAGTTTATTTTAAAAATCCTTTCAATTATAATAATGTAAGATGTTATACAATAAATACCAACAGAACAGTGATCCTCAAGGACCTCTTAATGCCAACTGACATAAGGTAAGGGTACATAAGGATTTTGGGGATCCTCTGGGTCTGGTGCCTACATGCTAGTCAACCAAATACCACCATGTAAGGTCTTTAATGATAATCCATGTCACACCGGTCACCATAATTATGATGTGCATGTACACACAATATGTAAGAAAAAGTTAGGTTCTCTAGGTCTGCGAGTTAGGGGAGGCCCTCAAAAGATGATCCAAGCATGAATGATAAAATGCTCCTCTCTCTGAGCCTGATCATGTGCACTGAGTGCTTTAGGGTTCATACTGGATGCCAATTTACACTGAGCAAAATGTTAATAAAAGATTGTGGGGACTGCGGGAAAATATAGCAAATGTTAATTGGTTTAGGACTAAAAAGCATATAACAAACAGCTTTAGGTTTGTTTTTGTGAAATTGGGAGACGGTTTCCATGCAACTGTACCCATAGTTCCTTTCCAGGATGTATTCCTCCCCTTAAACTATCCTCTGTTCAGGATATTGACACCATGATGCAAACTGCTGGCCCCTTGCTGTGTCTGTCTCTCTCAATCAGGTTTATTTTAGGGTAGTTTTCCTGGCAACCTGTACAGATGACCCCAACTATCCTTTAATTTGTGGAGGCAAGCCTCCAATAGGCGTATCTTATGAAGCAGGAATCTCATCCAATTTGGTTCAAACACTGGAAAAGGACTTGGGGCAAGCTATCATGTAAAACACAAGTCCTGTAAGTTAAGTTTAGGCTCTAGAATACACGTTATGAATGTTTTAAATACAACCATTTGTTTCCAATATTCTTACTTTCTATCACTTGAATCTTTGTTCTTTTGATAGATTTATTCATTGCTTCACTCTCTCTGCCCTATAAGTGCTACATATAAAGTAAGGTAGTGACCCTGAGTTTGATCTTGTAAATTGATTTTTGAGTAGCAAATCTGAGAGTTCTCCAGGTGTTCAGTAGAATGGGGATGGGCACTCCAGAAGGATGCTTGGTAAATTACTATTGCTACCCTGAACAAAGAGGGAGGATTGGTAGAGGCCTGGAAGATAGTATAGTAGACACAAACACCAGAGTTACAGACTGACCAGTCAAAAGGACACCCTATGGAACTAGAAGTAACTAGTCAGCAGCAGAGACAAAAAGAAGGAAATACCATACTGTGCCTCTATTGCATCTTAAATGTAGGCATATCTGGGCTACCTGTCCCCACCCCTATGGGAGGGGCAGCCACTTAAGGTGAAGATGCTGATGTTCACAGGCACAGCTGTGGTGGGTCTGTTGGCCATTCCCTGCCACTGGATTGCTGCAGGGACAGGACAGTGGGGAGAAGCACCGAGAGCTGAAACTCCAAGGGTGCAGGGCAATCTCCTCCAGCTTAACCCAAAGGAAAGAAACAGGAATAGGTGAGGGAGCTGCTTGTAAACTAGGCAGTGCTGCAGGTTCTTTAGTGCCAGGGGCTGCCTTTGCACAGATCTCTCCCAGCCTTAGCTGGAAGAGACAGGCTGTAGGGTATATGAGAATACCATAACTTTTGTGCAGATTTACAAATGTTTCCCATGGTGTCCATAACTCTGAGGTTGCACAGTATTTGTGTTGCCAAAAGCTGGAGGAGTCACAGAGCTGATCCACAGAAGGAACAGACAAGACATCCTCACATTAGGGCAGGTGGTAACAAAATGCCTGACAACCCCCAGTACCTCCAAGAAGCAACACAGATAGCATCTAAAAGTTTTGTTCCTATTTCTACCAATTTGATAAGTAATATACTAATGCTTAATGCACTGGTGGCACCCTCTGCAGTGTTCCCTGTAAGCTTTGCACTTGTGTGGATGCTCAGGAGAGATTAAAATGCTGTCCAACTAATTAGCAGAATACCTACTGTTAAGTTATTTGTTTCTACTAAAGGTGCACACACAGACATGCTGAGGTGCACATAAAAAAGTTATTCCACACATGGATGAAAAAGATTATGCTGTCTATGGTATTTGGTATCAGAGCACTAAAATGCCAGATACAGAAAACAATGTTTAAAAACAAAACTTAAATTACCCTGAGTAATTCAGCTGCTAGTACAGTTACAGATGTAGTTCCATCACCAACCTCGTCATCTTGAACCATTGACATGTCTAAAAGAGAATACCACTATGTTAGTTTATTGAGTCAAGTATCCTGTACTGCTCAGTACTAACTACAAATATTTATATACATACACAATAGTTTGGAAATCAAACACTTTTTTTTAAAAGTACATAGGGTAGGATTCCCTGCAGTAACAGTCATATTATCAACATGCTTTTTCATCAAAAGTAAAGAAACTAGCAAACAAACATCCTCTGAGCAAAAGTGGTATTTAATAATTAACCTATAAGGAGATTTCAAATATTCATCAAACTTACCAACCAAAACCTTGGCAGCTGGGTTGTCAACTCCAATAGATTTAAGGATGGTTGCACCATCATTGGTTACTGTTACTGTGCCATCTCTTCCAGAACTTAGAAGAATCTTGTCCTGTTAGGATGTAAGATTAAGGACACCAATTGAATATGTACTTCATGTTAACAGTGGTAAAGACAGCTAAAACTATGGTATCAGAACCAGCAGATAACTTACCATGCCTTTAGGTCCCAGAGTGCTCTTAACCAGGTCTCCAATGGCAATGGCACCAATGAAGGATGACTGGAATAAAAGTGAACAAGCATCAGGTAAGGGATCATTACTTCTTTAGTAAGAGTAAGCATCAGAAGGTTAAACCATAACACCAGGGATTACAAGAACGTGCCCTCTTAAGGGCAAGCTACACAGCAGGACTAAAGCCAAAATAAGCTAAGTCCGGGTTCGGCACTGCGCATGTGCCACGCACCTGGGAGCAGGGCCAGCCCAGATTGTTCGGTGGGCGCACATAAATGGCCCGGCGGGCGCCATGGTGCCCAAGGGCACCGCATTGGGGACCACTGAGTCAGAGCATAAGAGACGTTGCTCTGCCTGTCCATTATATAACCAGCACCTCAACAGCACTCATCAGCTGGGAGAGAAACTCCATGGAAATGCCTGCTTAATCCCTACAAATTTAGGTTAGAGCAGTCTCTGTACAGATGAAATCTTCAAAAAAGTTATGTCAACAAGTCTGTATTACTGAGCAAATTAAAAAAAAGGGGTCAAATTTGGCAGTTTTATTTCACATGAATGGGAACTTAAAAGAAACCCTGCTCCAAAACTTTGATCCTTGGTCCAAAAACCTGGAAGAAGCAGACCATCTCAACAAAACAGATGCAGCCTGAACAGGTAAAGTTAAATGCAACTGAAAAAAGGCTCTTGTAATTAGGGCTCTGTGTAAACATGTATTTTAAAGAAAATTCACTATTGTACATTGGCAAAAAATTTCTAGGAAGTTTGCATGGAATTAATTTTACACATACATGCTCACAGCACTCCATTCTTCCATACAAGCACTCAAGCAGCCTTATTCTTTTGATTACACAGAACATTCTATTCTTCTGGATGCCCACAATATAATGCAAATTACCACATACGCTCGTAGTAGACTTGATTGAAAACATTTTCTTTAAAATATATTTAAAAGATCACCATTTTGGGGAAGGGAGGCAATGTCATTGTTTCAATGCCCACCATTACCATGCGATTTACACAGGCTCTTTCTTATAATGGAAATTATCAAGCAACCTTAGCTATAGAAGGTGCTACCAATTCTGCTGATAATTCAACTCACCAATCGAGCAGTTTCTGCTTTTTCTTCATCAGCTCCTGCCTTGAAAATATTCACAGGTGCTAGGGAAAGGGATGCCTAAAACAAAAGTTATCATAATGTAACTTAGCTCCATCATTTCATCTTTAAAACCCTTCAAAAACATTAGTTGCTTTGTTATTGTTGAATTCCAGTGCTTCATATCCCTTATTCCTAGGTAAATTTTAATGAATGAATCTTTACATCACCATCTAAATCTTTAAAAAAAAATCTTCTCTTCACTGACACTCTATAGAGTCTCTTAAGCTCAGGGGCACCAAAAAGACTCAAAGTGCTGTCTCCAGAAGAACAAATATAAGATTTTCTGCCCAAGACTGCCAACAGAATCACCAGCCCCCTAGGCAAGGTGATGGGGGCCCAGTTCCAGAAGGGGTGAGGTCATGCCCTTTAATGCTACCCAGCCCTCACCATTCTTGGCTCAGGTGGCAATTTAAAGGGTCCAGGGTTCTGGCCACTGCTGTGATAGCACCAGCCAGGAGTGTCCAGCTTGTTAATTGCTGGGCCCCAGGAAAGCTCATCCACACCCACTCCCTGTTTCTGCTCTGCAGAGCACAAGTGACAGATTTACTGGAAACTGACCAGATCTCTCTGGCTGAGATGTCTTCTGTGCAGAAAGTTAAGTAGCTCCTGAAGGGAATGCAGCTATTCTCTGCTAGCCAACAGTCCTAGAGGACCATTACCACTTGGCATAGTTTAGAGGAGCCAGCTTTTAATTACAGCAAAGTCCAGACCAGCCTATCAGAAAATTTGGAAACCAGAACCTTTCTTTCTCCACTGCTCTGCTGTACCCAGCAGAGAACTGGAGCCAGTAATTTCTACTTTTTCTGAAATTACTGAAAAGGACCAAACATTTTTAAATCAACAGTATCACAATTTTATTTCCTTACCTTTCCCAGGTCACTTTACACCATACTAGTAGTCAGTATCTTTCAGCCCATTAAAATCAGAAATCTAAACTTAATCATGGCCCCCACCACATCAGCATAAAACTGGAACGAAGTTGTGCACCACCCTAAAATGCTTTCTAAAGCAAACTGGGGATTCTTCGGAACCAGGTGCAAAGGAATATACAATGGTAACAGGATGGTCAGATATTCATAGTGTATTCAATTCAACAAAGCTGCAAGCTTTTCACATAGTGGACTGTTTGACAAAGAGTTGAGACAATGCAAGAAGAGCTCTCCCAGGGAGGAAGTTTAGCAGTTCTCAGTTAGCAGCTGCCTTATGTGCAGACACACAGACACTTCGAGCCCTAACGTATTTCTCCTTGCTCGAGATGGATGATCCCGTTACCCAGGTAAAGCCAAACCCTGGAGTCCCGCAGCAAAGCAGCTGCTGAGCTGTCCCCGCCTCTCTCGCCAGCAGGCGCGTTGGGCGTCGGCCCCCAGCCCGAGAGCATCGGCGAGGCCGGGCCTCAGCCTCTCTACACCCACGGAGGGGGGGCGGGGAAGGGCGGCGGTGCCCAGGCACAGGCCAGGCGGCGGCCGCACATGGCGGGCCTGCGGGGACTCGGCCCGCGCAAGGAAGCCGCTCTAGAAACTTCTAGGCCTGCGCCCGGTGACTAACGGTCCCGGGCGGGACCAGCGGCCCATTTGGAGCCCCCGGCTCGCTCCCCGGGGCCCACAGGCCGGGCCGCGCCACCCGCCTTACCATGGCGACGGTGAATCGGCTACCAGCGTCCTGCCTGCCGCGAGCCGTCCCCAGACCACGAGTTACCCCCAGCAGCCACCGGAAATGGCGTCGTCTCCAGCGCCGCGCGCCCACCCTCTCTGCCGGGAGGAAGCGGAAAGGCGGCCTCGGCCTCCCCAGTGGCGGAGCGCGTCCGCGCCGTTGGACGTTGCATTCTGGGAGTTGCAGTCTTAGGCGGGCCAAAGGGGTCCGACCGCAGGGGATCCCGAGCAGCTCGGAGAGGGCCCGCCGGGAGCAGGGGGCTGTCCCGTAATGCGATCGCTGGGGACCACCCCCCGCAGCAGCGGCCTCCACCCCGCCCCTTCCCGAAAGCGTGTGTGGTGGAGGGGCTAGGACGCAAAAAGATTCCCTGGGCCTCCCTGCTGAAGGCAGGTCCCCGGTAAAGTGACGCCTCCCTCAGCCAGGTCGCAGGCAGGTGAGGGAGGACTGGGTGCATGGGGGAGGCTGTCAGGGAATAGGTAAAGGAGCCCATGGGCCGGGGAGGGGCTGGGAGATGTCTAGAAGTCCCATTCAGAATCTCCACCTCTCTCCTCATCCTTAACTAAATCTGCTTTTCCTCACCCACGTTAAATAAACTTTCTGCTGTACATTATTTCAGCTACATTACAAGTTAAACAGGCTTGGGGGGGGGGAGGGAGCGTCTGGGCATAACTACCATTTAACACGTTTCTATGGAAAACAAAGTAGTCCCGGGGCATTTTACACTAGGGTGTCTGCACTACAAAGTGAGATCGAAGCTGCCACTGGTCAATCTTCCAGGGTTCAAATTAGCAGTCTAGTTAAGACAGCCAGTTTCAGTGAGAGGGGCACTCTAGGCAATGCTAGTAACCTTGCTTTCAGAAGGAATAAAGGGAAGGCGAAGGGAGAGTGTTCTTTCTTCAACTTCCTGCAGCATAGAGTCAAAACCATGTTAAGCTACTTTGATTTCAGCTATGCAACTAGCATAGCTGAAGTTGTATCTCTTAATTCAACTTTGTCCCATAGTGTAGACATACCCTCAGAGACAAATCAAAATATATAGAATCATGAGCTTTCATGAGTAAAACTTGTTTTTAAAGTTACAGACTAACACAGCTACCCCTTTGAGATCGGAACTAAGAATGCATTTTCCTATGGAAACAAACGGCTGACAAACAAACCTTTTCAAATGCAACCCATTTGTAAGTTGAGAACTTCCTGCATTTCTATCTGTAGCTTCATCAATACAGTCCTGTGACCTATGCTTATTGTTGAACCAGTAGTTCATTTTGTATGTTGAGTTAATGCAGATTCAAATTTACAGTCCTGGCCACTGTAATTTTACAAGGCTGTTTTAATACTTTTGCTGGTGCTGTTAATTCAGTCACGACACACTAACTTCTTGTGAGTAAGGGGACGACAACTAATTTTGCTATCAGTCTTGAACAAGACTTCAGTTCTATGGAAAATATCCCATATTTCTTAATTAGTGTATCAATTTAAATGACACCACACAAAAAGTAATGTTTTTCTATATATTACGAAGATGTAACACCTCAAAAATACTTACAAATATTTTTATGGCCACCAAGGAAAAATTCAAAACTTAAAAAATTATATAAACTCATGGAGGATAGGTCCTTCAATGTCTATTAACCATGTGGGCGGGATGGTATCCCTTACCTCTGCTTGTCAGGACTGGGAATGGGCAGCAGGGGATGGATTACTATGTCCTAGTAATACTACAAAAATAGAACAGAGGCATCTTTGTGATAATCAGAATCCAAAAAATACAGCAAACATACGACAGCTAATAAGGCTATGGGTATGCCAGAGACAACAGTGAAAAAAAGGACGAATATTTTCTATTGGATTGAAGGTACAACACACCCAATATTGAATAATGAAAATAATAACTTAGTCACAAGCAAGAAAGCCACATGCTCACTACAATGTAAAATCATTTTTATTGCCATGCTACAATTTTTTTTTTTAAATGAAGTTGGCACTGATGAAGGTGGAGAACAATGTTGGCAACATTACACAATACATTTTTTAAATGAACATTTTGGTAAGCTATCAGTAATGGAAATGCAAACCAAAATTAAATTAAAATTCTAATATGCTGATTTCAAACAGCATAAAAATACTGTATTTATGCAGAAAAACACGGAATGTTTGTAAAAGATTAACCATACGGGGCAAAGTTCATGACAATTTTATAAACAATTTGGCAATGGTACTCCCACTATTTAGACTTTTTTTTATAAAGAAATAAAAATCTAGAAAGCTACCTTTATACAAAGTTGTTATATTTATGCCTTTAAAGTAGGAAAAAACATTTTATAATGCAAATTAGAACATAAAATAATCTTACAATATCATACAATATAATGACAGTAAAGGAACATAAAACGTGATTTTGGCCTTTATAGAAATATATATTTTTGCATTTAATAAATGCATTTGTGGCACAATGGTGACTGCTGTACTATAACTACCACTCAGCTTTCATGCTAGAGCTGTATTCAGTTTTACTGTAATTGCAAATTTGAAATTTAGGTTAAGATGAAGACAATGGTTCGGAAGTAACAGCCCTAGGTGATGCAACAATGGAATGAGATGTTATACACTGTATTGTGGGATACCATACAATACTTTTCAAACCAGAAGCATTTCCTATACATCCAGTAATTAAGTACCAATATCTTACTAGTAATAATGTCTGCGTTACGATTTGGCAAACTTCAGGGAAAACACGTTAGTACCAAATATATAGTAAACTTTATGTGTGTATACACGCACACACGTACAATCTAAAACTTGCATTAAATTTGGAGTCAAGGCTGCTGATGCCCATTCCTAGCATTAAAAATACAAGCAATCCTGAGCTGTTTCTTTCACACTTATAATTTTCTTTCATACATAACAGCTCAATCAATTACATTTTTACAGTATTTTTAGGTCATTCCTGGATAGCATGATCAGCCAGATACTCTGGGATAGTGCAGTCATTTTGCACTCATTGCCAGCAGAATCTGATCAGATAGCACCTGGTTCAACAGATGTTGAAATTAACAGAAATCTCTCTGTGGGTTGCAGTGGTGAATGAATATTTCTGTTGGCTTCAATGACACTGTTTCCAGCTTAAGATCACCACAGAAAGGCTCCTACCTCACACCCCCCCTCTGCTGCAGTAGAGAGGATATCATAGCTGCTATATACTCCTATGCTTGTCACCTGCTGTGATTTTCGACTGGTTTACAGTTGGTGGGGGGAACATACCTGGAAAATAGCGCCAGACTCAAGGAAAGGAAAGGTAAGCTTCATGACAACTTTGTACTCATGCTTTAAAGGTGAAGATCTGGCCCTGAATCTCTGTCATCGTCTCCAAAATTTATCATTGTCATTTTCAGACACCAACCAGCTTTGGGGTCCCATTTTTCTAGGTGCTTTACAAACACAAAGGAAGACTTAGTCCCTGCCCCGAGGAGCATACAATCTAATTCTTAATTATATTTTTACATCATCTCATTTGTATATACATGTATTTGCTACATTAAATAGAAATACAGCAAAGTAATGGATATATCAGAAAACTTTGTCACAATGTGTATTATCACACTAGATAATTATTAAAGCTGAAAGAAAAAATTTAAATGCCCTTTGTAAATATATAAAACAAAATATAGAGAAGTCCAATATTTGTTTCATGATTTTTAAAGATCTCTCAGACATATTTCCACCTATATACCTACATATTTCCACACAAAAGACTGCATTAAACTGGAGTAAACACTAGGATAATGTCCTAATAATACATCTGACAAATGTCTTAGTCATACTTGAAGTACAATTACAAGAAATATTAACAGAGGCATGGTCAGAGTTAAGTCTGCTATGTAAATTTTAATATCCTATTAATTTTCTATGCCTATTGTCTGGAAGAAGATAATTTCTAAAGACGGTAAAAATTTTAAATCAAGTTTTCCTGTCTCTTTACTGAGTACTATTTAAAAATGGACACCAGCAACCTTAACTCCATGTTAACACAGCTTTTTGTGCTAGAATTAATTTCTCCCCAGGCCTTTTTTTTTTTTTTTTTTGAGAATGTAAAATAATTTAATGTGAGCACTCCTTAAATGAGTTTGATAAAATATTGTTATGAATAAATCTGTTAAATTTGAATGCCTAAGCTGTTATTCATGGGGAAAAAAACTATTTAAATGCCAAAATCAGTTTCTATCAGTCAACAAACAGGCTTAAACTTTTCTTGGCTTCTTCTAGTGACAGGCAAGAGAAATGAAATTTTCCCATAAGAGATCAATTAGGTGCACTACAAGTTTCTACGGTATGGTTCCTCAAAATCATCTTTATTTGCAACCATAAGTAACAGTACAGTGCAGAAATAGAGTTCTGCTAGAGATTCCAGCTTATATGAAGCAGACAGTTCTGTTACCAAACAGAGCTCCAAATCATCACACACTCAATGTAGTAACTCAACTAAGTGAAAACCTGTTCACTCTTCATTGAAGAAGTGAAAGATGACAAAGGCAAATTGCCCTCTATTGATACTGCATTTTCCTGGACTAAATATATCTACCCTGGTACCGAAATGAATATTGTGGACTGGATAGTCAGTGGATGTAAGTTGGCTAACTTCACTGAAACCAATGCTCTGTCTCACACTTAGATACCACTTTCAGGTTGTCATGCCATGAAAGTATTATTTAATTTACCTTAAGTTGAATGAATTGAGTGTAGATGCCTCCAATTTTTTCAGTGCCTATCTGGGTTGTGAGTGAATATGAAAGCTTGACTGGGTTGAAGGGTGATGGATTATCATAAACACTAGGGAGGGTGAAACTAGCTCTTCAACAAGAGGAGATGAGGCTCCAAGGAACATTATTAGTGTAGATGCTCATGCAGTTGTTGTAGAGAGCAGGGCCACAAAGTGGTCCTGCTTTGAAATTTTGACCTGAGCCCTGTGTATGCTACTGGTGGCTCAGAATAACTGCACTCTATGTTGCAATAAAATGCTTTGTGTCAGATCTGAACACACTGATAGTCAAATGTCTTAGCATGTTTAAGGAGTAAGTGCAAAATGTAAAGAAATCCTTGGGAGTCTGATGCTTTATTACTGAATAGTTTTGTCATTTATTGAAATGAAAGCAAGAATAGGGCCATATTGTATAAATACTGTACCATATACTGAATATATTATCAGTAAATGTGTAATTTTTTTTATTTAGAAACTGCAGAGAAGAAACCAAAATAATGTTATAAAACTAGTTAAAGTTTTCAGAATTATTCATTTTAAAATCTATTTGATGCAATCACTAAAAAACTGTAATATAATTTTGGATCTCTGAAGTATGTATTTGTTTTTCTTTGTGTAACTGACATGCTACCAGGAAAGGGTTAAGCAGCTTACAGAAATAAATGACCCAAATTCAATCTTGGTGTTTGTATTTTTATTGTTAGAGGTTAACATTGTAATCAAATGGGTCCTTTCTATGCTGTAGTCTGTTAATTCAGAGATCAAAAGGAGATCTTAACATTTAAATAAACTATAAATATAATAATGTCACTGTATTGATTTCTCTTTGAAGTATATAGCAAATTACCTATGAACCAGTGATACTTAGGAAATAAGTGTACAAGATTGCACTTTGAAGAGAAGTCTGGGGCTGTAGAAGTATGAAGATATTTGTAACCAGATCCTTTTAACCTCAGATCAGCTTGATGCTTTATCAGGGAAAACTTTATGTTAAGAGTGAAATCTCCAGACCCATCTGGATCACCCTGAATATGAATACTGGATTATAATCTATGGACTAATTCTGGAAGAACTCTTTGCAACTACAAAATTCAACATATCTATTATGAATCTGAACTCCATAGTCCATATTCATATCAATGTATATTGCTCTTAACCAATACTCACTTTTCTACAAAATCTTAGTTTAGTTAGTAAGAATTGGCTGTAAGTATGTTTGGATAAGTTCTGGAATATTCATTAATTTGGCAGGTAACGTGTTCAATCCTTTGGGATTGGTAGATTTTTTTTATATGATGTGTAAGATTTTGATGAATCTGCATCATATTTTACTTGGGTATTTAGATGGAGGCCTGAGGTTGGTTATTTTAAGGGAACTGTGTTGTTGACTCCTGAGTATCTAGTAATATATTATAGAAGCTGTTTTGTGCTGGTTTGGTAAATCTAAATATTGGACTATCCACCAGCTTTGAGGATTGTTTGTCCTATTCTTTGCAATTCACTCTAATTGAATGAGTGTGGCTCCCTAGGATCCCAGTCACAGTAACCAACGGATTAAAAGCCAGCTTTAATGACATTTTCAATGCAACAATAACAATGCAGTCTTGGACAGTGCCTCATATCTTATATGCTGCAAAGAAGAATTCATTAGAGCAGTTCTTTGAAAAGTAGTATAATTCATTAACACACTGCATGTTTCACTAGCTGTGGCATATGGGGAAACTATTTCTAGCTTAAAGATCTTATACACTGGAGGATCAGTAGTGTGGAAGAGGTCTGTGCCTGAAAGGCACGGGCCAACTGCACATAGTTGAAATGTAGCAGAATTAGAAGAAATATTGCCACTTTATGTAGGCATTGGTTAGGTAATCTTCACATATTATGCCAGTTATTTTCCAATAAACTGTTACACATCTATTGCATCTTGCTCTGTGCTCCTGTGGGTCCACAAATAAATATGCTTAAGAATACAGTTGGGAAATTTCAGCTCAAACTGAACCACCAGGCCTACAGATAGAGAGTCTAACGCAGTGGTTCCCAACCTTTTCCAGATGGAGACCCATTTTGACAAGTCAGGAAGACTTGGTGACCCAGGGCAATTCAAAAAAAATGTGTGAATGGCTCCTTAAGAGCCACCTAGCGACCCTTTTGAAATGTAATGGCGACTCATATTTGGGTCCTGACCCATAGGTTAGGAAATCCTGGTCTAACATCACAACAGGGGTGGGGAGCAAAACACACACAAAAAAAAATACACAAAAACCTCATGGATGTGGCCCCCAACTGAGAAAGACACTCTCCACATTCCCCTCCCACACTAGAGCCTAAAGGGACATAGCCAAGAAAAATTGTGTATGCTCCAGCCCTGCGGTGGAGCAGCAGGGGAGCTGGAGTGCCAGCACGGGCTCCCCAATGCTGGGGGGGGCCTGAGCCTCAGGGGCCAGATCCAGGCCACCCCTGCTCTAAAAAGACCAAGTCTCCAAGGGTAAAGTGCAACTACTTCATGGAAAAAATTAAATAAAACAATTCCATAAACGAATTGAGTAGTTCCTATCTCTATCCAGCTTAATCAACGTCATTACCTGCTTAGGGAAATGGAAGAGGTTTAGGGATGTTCTTAAAAGAATGTGTGAAAGGAGGTAACAGTCTGAACCTAAACACCATACTTAACATCTTTAATGCTAAAATGCACTCTGTATGTTAGCGATATGCTGCACCTAAAGGGAAAGTGATTTATTCTACATTTGTCTTATTAAAAGTACTGCCAACAACAAGCATTCAAATATCATTAATCGGATTTTAGCTTATTTTTAGACATCTCCTGGTTTTTGATCCTTTAGGAATCACATTTTCAAGCTTTTTTTCCCAGAAGATAATAAATGTAGCTTTATTTAGAAAAAATAAAAGGAAAAAAATGAGATTTTTCAGTATTCACAACTCCAGGATCTAAAGTTAAGAAAAATGCTAAATATTACAACACTCAAAACTGCAAGAGTTTGAAACAACATTATTTTGAATGGTCCACAGTAGGTCTTGGCTAGGAAGCATGATGTAGTGGCTAGGGCACTGGACTAAAACTCAGGAGAGCTGGATTGAATTCCTGGTCAACCATAAACTGTGTGTGACCTTCAGCAAGCTATGTATAGTCCAACTGTGCCTCAGTTTCCCTCATCTGTAAATTGGGGATGGTACTTCCCTACTCTACTGGACCATTTCAGGATAAAATCCATTAATGATTAAGACACTCAGATACTATAAGGATAAGGGCCATAAAAGTCTCCAGATAAGCTAGTTGGTGAGTTAAGCATCCTAACCTTTTAAGAGCAGGAAATATGCTGAAATTTTGCCTTAGCTCACAAAATTGGCAAGAACGTGTTGGTTTCATTCTAGTTCTTGCCCACTTCACACATCCACCACATCATTTGCAACAATTGGCAATCATAGTTCAAGACAGATCCAGGATTAATATATGTGTGATGTATTGCAAATCAAAACAGAGGTGCAATGTCAGGGCTGAGCAAGGAGTAATTATAGCACCCTATACATCTGCACTGTCTGTTTCTAATTAATGCTACTAGTCCCTCACTTTTTTGAGCACCTAATTCATGCAAAAAAAATGTATACAAGTGCATAGACTAATAGTGAAACGATTATGAAAAAGTTTCTTGATTTCAGTGAGTTTTTCTTACATTTTCCCCAGCTAAATCTCCCCTTCCCTTGCTTCTGTGAAGTGTACTGATTGTGCATCCAGATGCATTTCAGTATTGAAGTTTGTAAAGAACACTGGAAATCCTTCCTGAAGAAAAAAGGCCTGGCAGATATAAGTGAGGTTACCATTCTCTCTCACTGGCGTGAACAGGAAAAATGTATTGGAAATATCACTCCTACTGCTATTATCTGGCTGAAGAAAAAAGAAAATGTAATAGAGAGCAGGAACGTCCTTCATAGTATTCAAAGGACCGGAAACAGTGTTTTAAATGAAAGTTCAATTTAAATATTGCATGAGGACCCTAAGGATTTTTTCAGGACCCTTTCCATGGTTTCTTGAACGTGATTTTTTTCTTACCCACAGCTCAAGGATTATTATACATCACACAAGTTCACATATTAGTCAGTTTCTTTGAAATCACATGCTCAAGCTTAATCTCTTTTCTTTCTGGTCCTGTGCTGCAGCTTCTGTACTGCTATCAATTCTATTAATATAGAGAGTAGTGACTGTCAAGGGTATACCTGGCATGTTCAGCAGATGGATTCTACCTGGATGTCTTATAACATTGAGCAGCAATTAAGCCATTAGAGGTACTGAGTTTACTACATGCAAAAGGAAAATATGTATGCTCATAGATATTACCTTCAGAAAATTCTTTACATATTTTAAGTCACTAATTCTCTCTAAACCCAAGTACATCATCTATAGCTCCACAATGCTAGAATTTAATAATTGCTGCATTGAACTACCAGATGCAGTTCTTTGCTTCCTGTGGTGAACTATATTTGATGCTTCAGAGGAAGACACAAATACATAATACACTTTTCAACTTGCTGTAGGCTGCTGGACACTTACACTTTTGAGATGTAAATCAAACAATAATACACTGGAAAAAGGCAACCCTTTTAAGAACAAAAGTTCCCACTGGACCTTCAAGAGTGTTTTTTTTTTACCATGTGCAAACTGAATAGGAGCAACACACACAAAAACCTGAAACAGTTATAATTATGCACAAAAACCTAACTCTTCTTAATTTACAGACATTACAGAATCAGTTAAAGAAGCTATCTCGCACATGAACATGGAAAAGTGAGCAGAACTGTGAAACTGAAGAAAACCTTATTCACAGATACAACCAACCTGTGTATTCCTTCAGAAAACTCAGATTAAAATTCTGCAAAACTCTTTTGGAAGCTTGATATGGCCACTTGGAAATCTTTTCTAGCAGAAATGACTTACGGCTGATTTCAGATGCAATTACAGCTCTGACGAAGTGAACTTGATGTCACCCCTCAGTGTTACAGAAATTAAGAAAACTTTAAATCTGAAGCTTGTCCAAATGATACAAAAAATGAACTGACATATACAAAGAAGCATGGTGTTTATACCCCTTCACATGAGCCAAAATATATCAGGTAAGTCTAACTGACTGGATAATGAATTACTCACACTCCTCATACTGGAGTAGGCAAAATGAATGAAGAGTGAAGGTCCAAATATCAACTTTGCAAAATTAGGGCTACCAGCTAGTAATGTACATCACAAGGCTTTATAAAATGTTATAAATGCCATTAATGACTATAGGCACATGGCCAGAATATTGATAACTTCAGAACTGGCATGTCACTCCAACTCTAATCAAGTAAAGAGGCACTGTGAAAAGTGGCAATGCTTCTAGTTAGCAATTACTACTACATAGAATGAAATAGTGTTATTTAATGAGTACCTGCTCTACATTATTTCCCTTTAGTTAAACAAGCTCATGAAGTATTCAGAAAAAAGTCTATTAGTCTATAAAAGGCATTAGTGTTAAGAAATGCAAATGAACTATTTGCATCTTCAATTTTATAAACTTCACAAAAGGTGCAAATGATTTAATGCTTCCCAGGCTCACATAGGCAGGTCAGTACTGTTATGTCTAGTTTTTCTAGATGTACCATCATCTCGTGGCAGTGCTTTCTGCAAGCTTGACATAGCAGCAGTTCTTTCAATGTCTATCACAGCATACAGCTCTGTGCGCCTGGTTGGAGTTTGTGGAAGTGGAGTGGTAGGAGTTTTTGGAGTCTGAGGGTTGTCGGAGTCACTGCCACCTTCCAAGTCAACCTGTATATAATTGAGCTGCCTGTGTTCTAAACTTGGACGTCTAATATCAAAGTTAAAGACTGTTGGTGTACAGTCCCGACGTCGTGTAAATTCTACTTTATGAGCACTTGCTGGCACAGTTACATTCTCTGTATTTACGTAATTATGCATTGGATCTAGGTTATTGTGGTAACCATTCAGAGATGGGGTCTTTGGTCCTAAATTGTCATCTTCATCTCTACTTAGCTTGCGGGCTTCCCAAACAGGAGGCAAAGATGGCAAATTTTCATAGTTTAATAATGCAGTTCTTCTTTGAGCAGAGTTGTTGATATTCTGGGTATCTGAGGTACTTGTTGATGTCAAACGACCTCTCCTGACTCCTGAGGCAGTAGGGATTGATAATCTATTTAGATTTTCATACACGAGTTTATTACCAGAAGGTGTTTCTTTACGTTCATCGCTGTCATACCCAGTGTCCCATTCAGAGTTGTTCATACTACTGCCACTAACTTGGTCTCTCCCAAGTTGCTCCAGTTGCTCTCTTTCCATTAATTGTCTTTGAACAGGTGTTGGTCCTAAAACAAATTTGACTCCTCCAGGCTCCAAGAGAACCTGAGCATCTCTATCATCAATGCAATTGTGATCTTCTGTTGTCTTGCTTGTTTCAGCATTGGAAAGCCTTAATTCCAGTGGTGCATGCACACTTGACCTATTTTTTCTTTCCTCTTGTACACCAGTAGTGTTGACATAAGTGTGCACCTGTAAAAGACACGTTCAAACATTAGTTGCACTTTTTTTTTTTTAATCTCCTTACTCCTTTCCTTCCCTCAAAACTTGAAATCTTTCTCTCTGGCTATCTGAAGAGTGAAGAAGACTATTTATGGGTGACAGAGTTTTTGTGATAAAAACCCAACCAGTTGGGTTGTGTTGAGCATGGAGCTTTGCTACTGGTCTTATTTTTGCAGTGCTGTTTAAAATAATGTCAGAAGTGCCCAGACCAACCAATGAGAACATTTTCTAAGCTCAATTCTACCCTCTCTCTGAAGTCTGGTCAGGGTACAGCTCCATGATCCAGTGGCAGGCTAGCCCCAACAATGGTCACAGCAGCTTTAGGGCAGCTCTGACTAAAGCCACCGATATATGTGGAGAGACAGGAGAGCTAGCTAGCTAGCTCTCGCTCTCTCACACACACACACGACTTTGCTTAGTTTACATGAGCAGATGTCCACTCTGAAAGGAAAATTTCTCTGCTGGCCACTTAAAGACTAAATCCACCCTCTTGTACCAACTGAGTGATGGAAAAAGTGTCGGCTCATACCAAAGAATCTGTCTCCTTATTATGGGACAGCACTTTCCACCAAAAAGGCATTTAATCTATTAGTTATCAAATTATAAAACTGTATCAGAGGCAGCAGTGTGGGGCAGTAGGCAGCTCCCCAGGAACTAATGGAGATGACTTTTAAGATGACTTCCCACACGAACCAGGAGCCTATGTGTAACCGTGAATGTTACCAATTAGTTCATCAGTTAGCCATTTACACTTTCACATCCCTAGAGACACCCTGTTTTCCCCTCAGCTGAGCAGTCATGCAGCTACCCATGAGTGAATTAAATGCCGCACACTTGATTAAGGAAGATGTATACAGTGGCATGTGTTCAGGTACCCCTCTCCTAGTGCTGCGCAGTTGCACTGTTTGGAGCTCCTGGCCAGCTGCTCCAAGGACCCTCTTGCTTACTGTGCAGAGTCCAGGCAGGGGGGTGCTGATGTCAGGCTATCCCCCTGTAGCCAGACACGAACCCCATCTTGGTTTCAGCCCCCCCCAGAGAGCAAGAGAAAGGCAGTCAGCCTTTGATGCCCTGGGAACACAGGTGTGCTGCCTGTCCCTGACTCTACCATAAACAGAAACCAGACAGTAAATGGGCTAGCTGACGACCCCGGGCCTCCTGCCGTCCTGATGGCTAGTACCAGTAATTGACACGCCTGCACTGTCCCAGGAGAGGAATCTTCGCCCATCACATACCAGAGGTGCCCATTGTCTGCATCTTCCCATGTGTGAATTATGCTTTGCACCCTTCGTGGGAAACTTGGCATTCAAAGCCATTTTTCCTAATTGGCCACTTGAGACCAGGAAGAAGCCTACATGACCCAAGGGGTATAAAGAGGGCGCCCAACCTCGCCCTACTTCTTCCCGAGGGATTGAGAGAAAGACGCTGGCCACGCCAAGTCTGGAACGCAGGGGTGAGAATATATACCTGCTAGGTGTCTATTTTGCATGCATTTAATAAGAGCTCAGAGAACCAAAGGGTTTCATGGTACCTGTAAGTGACTTCTTAGTGTAATTTCTGTCCTGTCCTTTGTAGTGTCTGTGTTATCTGTAACACAGTAGTAGCATTTAACAGCTAAGTTTACCCTGTAACAATAAAATAGTAACTGTTTAAGCTTTAACCTGACTCCTTCAGTTGCTGTAACAGAACCAAGCACAATTTAAAAGAACTTCAGCCAGTCATAAGGGACTCACTGCCCTGACCGTTGGCTGACACCCCCTCCCTCTACTTGCCCCCCAACCATCTTCGCACAGCAGGAGAGGCAGGACTGGGCTCAGCAACAGGAGAGCTCAGCTGCTGCGTCTGAGCCTTTTGGTGTGATTGCCTTAAAGATACAGGATGCAGTATCTTGGACTTCCCCAACAGCTGACTCTCAGACACACACATGCTGTCTCTTTCATGCTCACCTCTCAACAACATACTTGTTGTGATGTTGTTACTTCTTGGTAGTATGAGCAATTCACATATAGTCTCTGTAATTTTATATTTGCAAAGTGCTGTTTGACTGATCTATGCATTTCATAATTGTATTTTCCCCTTGTGCTTAAATTTAATTATTTGAGTAGTGAGTTCTAAAATGCCTAACCTTTCCTGGCTGGAGTAATTATCCCAATGCTAACTTTTAAAAATGTGTATACTATAATTAAGTTTTTTGTTTTTCCTGAGGCACACATCTCCTCAACATCAGTGCACATAAAATTCATCCCACACACGGATGAAAAAAATAAGAGGAAACACCAGTGACAACTATTGCTCTTCTGGGTTGCCTCATACATCAACAGCCACATGGGTCTTAATTTCCCCCACAGTGGTTAATTTCCCCCACAGGGTTCCCCCACATGCTGAAAAAGCCATAGCGAGATACTTGGTTTCTTTCCCACTCTATACCCTCTCAACCCCTCTCCTCCCTCACTTCATTCATTCTTCTTTGAACACTCCAGCTACTGGTTCCCTCCTCTTTCCTCCATATTATGTTCTCACTCATCTCCATCCACCTCCCTGATTTTCACATCTGCCTCTTTCTCCACCCAATCTCATCATCACCCTCAGTTACTTTTCCATTACTCCCTCCCATCTGACTCATCTGGCTCTTATTATACCCACATTTGTTTTCTCAGCGCTTTAGCTCATTTTTCCTTCCAGTACCTGTTTCTTATTACATGCTAAGATTGTTATACTGTCATGGGACAGGAACTGTCATAATATGAGTATTCACAGCACTCATCACAAGAGGGACTTAAGTTCCTGATTGGGAACTGTTGGCATAATTATTATGTATTTATTTGTATCATAATGTTTATTTTAAATCAAGCAGCTAAGAAAACAAAGTTGTTCTTTTGCCAGATTTTTTCTCTTTCTCTCTTTCTCTCTCTCCTTCCTCCCCCCCCACCCCAAACATTCTACATCAATACAACATATTGTGCAGATATGCACAGCCAAAATCATGGGAAAAAAACCCACATTTTTCCACCATGGAAACAAAGCTAGGAAAACAGGTGCAAATACAAATATACAGAATATGTACAAGAACAGTAGAATTAATGCTGAACCCAAAATGCATGAAAATAAAGACTATGCTTACTTGTTCTTCTGCTACAAGCAATGGATGTGTTGACTCTTCACCTACAGAAGGAAGCCGTGCACTTCCAACAGAGGGATGTCTGCTAGAAGGATGTGATGAAGCATCTCCAAAGGAGGGATATCTGGGATACCCATTAGGTAAACTTTGTGCACTGAACCCAGGAGCTAATTCAATTTAAAAAAAGATAGATTAAAAAGCTATCCATGGTGACTCCTTATGTATCATTCAGATGTTTTGCTTTTTTCTGGAAAGTGTTTTGTGGGCACTATCAAAATAAATCTATTTAACAAATCCCAAAAGGTCACAGGACCAGACATGTGCCTAAAAATGTCTCAGATTCCCTCAACATTTAACTGAGGAATCATGTGCAGTTTTTTTATTTTTTTAAATCTGGAAAGCAACCATCACTGAATAAAAGAAAGTGAATTGACATCAATCATTTTCTTAAATTCAGCCTTTTGCATGCATAAACAAGGAAATAATCTAGCAAAATGTAAAATACATACAAATGCCATTGAAAATTTGTTTTTCAAAATTGCATTGAACTGCAATAAATGCTAAGCTAAATATAAAATGGGACAATAAGTGCCATAGATTACAAGTATTTTGTAAGAAAAAAAATTGCAAAAATCAATGGATTTTTCTGGACTATTTCAGTGGTTCTATATACTGCCAAATTTCAACACTTTTTTTTTCAGTTAAAATAAGTATATAAGATTGTCAGAAGAAATATTCCTGTAATGTCATAAGAGTTTATACTGCTGAAAATTTCATTCAACCACTTTTTAAATTCAGTTTTAAAGTTCTAGGTTACCATCTGAAATGAATTCAAGGACGATACAGATGGATAAACTGTAACCCTCTGATAGCACTTAGTTTTTATCAAACTTCTTTTCATCAGTATTACCAACATGAAGTTGTCTCCATGAGGAAAAGACAACTATTTGTCTGTAGTATCATTTGTCTGTAATATCATCATCACAAGATCCTGACTTTTAGGCCTCAAGCATCCAGCCTCAGGCCATATCTACACTACAGTGGGAGTTGATGATCTGTCATCGATGCACCAGGGGGTCAATTTAGCAGGTCTAATAAAGACCTGCCAAATTAACAACAGATTAGAGGTGTTAAAAAGCAGGTAATTGAGTAACTGTGTAACCGCTCAAAATTCCAGCTGGGGGGCCGGGGAAGAAGGAGTTATTTGCATAATGGAGTAGCGTACCTTAGATAAAATTTCTGTGGTAGTGTAGACATAAGCTCAGATTGGCCAGAACTCCCCAAATGGAGTTTTGGAGGACTTTGTGTACAATCTCCAACCCTACAGTTCAAAAGGTACAACTACCAATTCCCCCTTTTTCGGGGAAAGAGGTGAAAGGCTGGAATACTGACTAGTAGCAATATACCATTAACTGCAGAGATAAAGGGTGAGTGCGTATAAAAAAAACCCACTCACCTCAGGCAGACAGTGTTATTTTTGAAGATTATATATAGACATATATATATATATATATACACACACACACACACACAAATAAAAGCACAAATATACAATCATCACAAGGCAGAGCACACCTCTTTCTAAGTAGAATCCCCAAACTCTGAAAGGAGATGCATGGAAAAATGAGATTTATGATTTCTTCAAAAGATTTAGAAGTAATTTTTTCTTCTTTGAAGATACCATCATAATGGAATTCTCACGCTTAATAAATAAGTAGCTTAAGGGATGTGATGTTTCAGAATAAAAAGGCACTGCATCAGGCAATGATTTACATGTACTTCAGGAAAGCAGCTCCTAACCAAGATACATATACATTTGCTAAAGATCATGCAAATCTCAGACTGGACTATTCAGTCACATGAGATTTTGCAAACCCTTTACATCATAGGCTGCAATTGTCACCATCTCTTGCAGACAAAAGGATGCCAACAGACAAGATGCAAAGTAGCTCTTTTTTCTTAAAGAAAGGGAGGCTGAGCTACCACCTACTAATCAAGAAGCAACTATGCAGAGGGATTTGAGAATGAGCCATCAATAAGCAAGAATTATCCACAAATATACCCAGTTAAAGATATTCTGAGAAACAAAACTCATGGGGGGACAGGGAAGAATTTGGGCTTCCCTACTATAAAATATGTTCTGCAGACATGAGAAATGGAAGGTGACTGCAAACCATGATGCATATATCCATAACCACGACATTTGTGAAATACAAGTCTTCTAAAATGCCAGAATTCAAATAATTTGTTCAGCTCTACAGGCCATGTCTTCAGAACTACATCCTGTCAAAAACAAAGGTGTCATAGGAGAGCTCAATTTGGCTGCAGCAAAACCTTTTCTTTGAAAAACATTGAAGGAAGGATTTGACAGTAAAGATACCAGTTTTCCAACCCTAAGCAGAAGTGAGGGCCGCTAAAATAAACAATTTTCATGGAGAGGTGAAATAAAGAACACATGATTAATAGTTCAAAGGGATATTTTGTAAGACAAGAATGAAGTTCAAGTCCCATGTTGGGGTTTAACCTGTGAATTAAAAAAAAAAAAAAAAAAAAGACAGTCCTCTGAGGAATCTTGATGTTGCCACTGAGTGGGTCTCTCGGGTATGGGAGAAGACATCCATCTGCGGTACTAAGGGAATGGGAGTCAAGGTCATTTCCCCACCCTCCATCCCCATTCTCCTCCTCAGTATAAGTTCTAGAAGAGTAAATGTCTTGTAGTGTAGCGAGGGGATTCCTGGACAGAAATCTGAGAATCGGATTCATCCTTAACATAATCCATTGGAGGTGGTTATTGCTCATCCTGAATGGTACGTATGAGAACATTAGGAAATCTGGGCAAGACGTGATCTCAGTACAGGTAATTGTCCAGTATTAGAGACTCTCATCCAACACAAAAAATATCTCCTGAACAGCTGTAGTACCGATGGAATGGGAGTAGAAGTTAATTGGTATGCTGCAGAAACTGTCATCAGTACCAAGAGAGGTATTCCTCTAGAATGTGCTGGCACCGAGGACATGAAACACTTTGAATGAATACATCTAGTAAGCTCGGGTGACACCAAAGTAGCACTCTGGGATGCTGATATCGGTCTCAAAGGAGGTATGCAGGAGTCTAATTGCATTGACTGCTTCAAAGTTTATCTGGAATGGACATGACCACTTGAAATTAAGATATCAGTTCTAGACAGGAAGATTAGATTACTTCAGTACTAGAGCCACTCAGTCTCCATGGTACTGCTGTTGGGAGAGGTCTCCATAACACTTCCTTTAAATCAGTGACCAAGGGTTTCATTTAAAAAAAAAAAAAAAAACCTCTCAGGTAGGAGATTTAGTACTCTTCTTGCTGGAACCTAGTCTTGTTCCGTGAGTCTCTTGGTGATATAAGCCAGAGGAAGATGGAGCCATTAAGTATGCTCAGAAGCTAGTATAAAGGGGGAGGTTTCTCAGTCTTAGGGCTTGTTCCATCAGCACTCTAAACTCTTACTCTATTCTTAATGAGTGCCCTTTTAAAATAAATGCAGAACTTATACTTTGCCAGGATAAGGATGTCTCCCATACAGAAGAAGCACCGAGAATGGCCATCACTAACAGAGATTACTTCCTGGCAGAAGAGAGAATGTATGAAGCCTAAGAATGCCCATGTACCTCAGAGATGATGATCTTCAAAATAACCCCTTAAATGAGGAAAGAAGAGATGAGAAAATAAAACAAACAGAACCCCCAAAATCAAATACTAAGAACTAAACTTAAGAAAACTAAATGAACAACAAACCAAATTAAGTACTCCTAAAGTGAACCAGTCTCAGGCCTTCGAGTAGCTGAGAAGGAACGAAGGGCATTTTGCTTTTGCACCTCTATGTCTTGGGTAAGGCCTCAAGGATGTCTGGAATGCATGCGGAAGCCAAATGGGCACCGTTACAGAAAGCCTCCAGTCAGAAGTGCATGCATACCAAAGGGACAACATTAAGAGAATTCAAACTTTGCCAAGCAATTTGCTGCTACAGAGTGGCAGAAATGCTTTCAAGAACCTTGCCTATAGAAGAAAAAAAATCAGCAATATTTTGTTTAGCTCATAGAAACAGAGATCCAAGTCTGCTGTTTTACCTTTTTTCAGCCCTTCAGGAACCAATGACACTCTTTAAACGTGAACATTTTGGACAATGATTCTGGTGCTTATAATTTTCAATGGTTGCAATTAGGCAACCCTTAGAAAAGATCTCAAAGTGACCCACATGTACACATACTACAGTGGTACTTGTGTACTGCTGTTAGCCCCTACTAGAGCCGAGCCTAGCCAAATTCTTCAGTTTTGGGAATTCTGGTTTCTCCTGTCCCAGAGCAAGAAGATCCAGAAGTGAGAATTCAGCAATGGTACTTAAAGAAACAAAATACCTACAGCAAACACTTTAGCTGGCAATAGTATTTAAACCTGTATTCATTCTTTAACTAAGTTACTTGCATGCTGCCAACTGAAGAGCTATATGCAACTGAAATCAAGGTTTCACATTACATGCAGAAATCATGCTTACTGGTTGGTGTTCGAGGGGTTCTTGGAACTTCCAACTCCGTTTGATGATTATTCCTTTCTACTACTGGTTCTTCTACCACATTTATGCTATTGTTCTGCATGATTTCTTGTAGCATATTAAATAATTCTTCTGCACGAGCACACTTGAAGGCAAAGATTCCTATGAACACACAAAAATTGTTATAGGTCCCTTTAAGTGGAAACAAGAACTGCTTCTAAAAACAGTTATGTAATTAAGTAACTCATTGGGAGTCCACTTAACGAATACCTGTTAAAGGAACTGAGCTATTATAATTTTGTTTTGGTTGTTACACAAAAAATTTATCATGAGACCCCTTTAAAGGAGTACCTGATAAATTAATAAGCTTCCAATGCACCAAAAAGACAGTCTGGAAAATAACAGACCCAATAAGAGAAAAATCAGTTACATTTCTGGGTGCTAAATGAAAAAAACACTTCATGAAACAGAAGTTTTAAAATGAATAATCAGATAAATCTTTCTATTAAAAAACCCCATTTCCTGTGGGATGACAGAGTGATGCCAAGCACCCTTCCCCTTTGCGGGGGTGGGGGAAGGTTAGGAACCACTTGGCCTCCCTCTCTCATGCGTGCGTGTCCATATGCCCCCCTCCTCCCCCCCCCGGTGGCTGGAGGGAGCTTGATTTGACAAGGCCTCGTCCTGGCTCAACCCACCGCCCAGCAGCCAGAGGGAGAGAGCCAGGTCTGCCACGGCCTCAGCTTGGCCCTACCCCTCAGTGGCAGAAGGAGCAGAACCAGGCAAGCCGCAGCCTTGACCCAGCCCAACATCCTCAACTAGGGGGGCGGGGAGAGCAGGAGCAGGCCAGCAGCTGTGGGGAGAGCCAGGGCTGCCTACTCCCAAGGAGGGGGGTTGCGAGTATAGTGAGCAGGAGGCGCAGCCCCTAGCAGACCATTACAAAGAACAGAACTTTGGTGCTGCAAGGTTATATGTTTATCAGGTTTATATTGAGTTACCATAAAAAAATTCCTGCAAAATAAGGAAGAAGGGTTTTGACATAGGGTAAAAGTCCAGGTTCTTAAAGAAGGTTCAAATGAAGGGCTAGAGACAGATTGTGTGGAACAAACAGCAACAAACCAAGTTATTTTTCTGCCTTAGGGATAGACAAAAATACAAAGCTGGCAGCAATACTATATATACAGTACTGCCCAAGTATTGTGCCACTTTGTGTTTGAACAGTAGAGGGAGCCCAACTTACCATCCCAAGCAAAGAGACACCAGGGAAGACGCAGCTTTGGTTTATTCATTCCATTGAAAGCATTAATTTAAAGTTGACATTCTTGTTAAAAGAATAGAGTGTGTATGTGGTTTTATTTTTTCAGAAGACTGGATTACACTTAAAAAAAGTATCTTTATTTTAAGATACGTATATCTTTCTACGTTTTGACAATGCAATTATGTTTATATATCATGTAGATAACAGGAAGTGAATGTCAAGCTTCTGATTGCTTTTCGAGTAACACAGAATGAGGATAGATCTAACATACTGACTATATTTTGGTGTTAATTATTTTAAAAAGTCTGCACATGGTAGAAGCTTACAAAGACATGTAGTACTCTAGGTTTAAACAATTTGTGTGAAGCTCTTCAGAATTTTTTTATTTAACATTTTGCCTGATATAGTATTAATACTTCAGAAAATAACAGTGTACTTTTAAGAAATTTAAATCTGCCCTTTTATTTTTTAAAAGGAATACAATATATTCAATTCCCAAACTGTTAGTTCTTCCAAACATGCAATACACTAAATTGCATAGGCAGGGAGAAAGTAAATAAACAAGACTTTTTATTACAGCAATTTCTCAAATATTTTCATATTAAAATCCAAATTACCTGTAGCTAAGTCACACAAAGAAAAGTAAATTCCTGCACTGTGATACCAGGGTTTGGGGGTTTTTTTCTTCCATATAATGTAATACTATACCCAGTTTACCACCACAGAAACAATGCTGGTTGGTTAGTGAAGTTCTGAAGTGGGCCTCAAGTTTAGAAGGTCGACAAATAATCTGGTTCTTGTTTACACATATAGCGGTGCAGCGGTACCAATTCAGTGGTGCTATAGTAGTGCTTAATAAAGACGCTACCTTACTGACTGGATAACCTCTCTTGTCAGCATAAATTCTCCACCTCCCCAACTGGCTGCAACTATATTGACAGAAAAAAGCCCTCCTTACAGCAGAAGTTCAGTTGGTACAATTATCATTCAGGGATGTGGATTTTCCACACCCCCTGAGCAAGGTAGTTATACTGATCTAAAGTCTGAAAATTCAAAAGAGAAAATTCTTTCAATGACATTGAAAATAAAGTTAGGGTGGTTGTTTTGGTGGTGGGTTTTTTTTGGGAGGGGGGGAGCGCATAATTTACTTCCAGTGACAGCCATACTGCTAAAAAGTGAAATTTGACCATGGTAGAGCCAAATATGAGTAAAACCATTTTCCAAATTATTTTAAATCTTACATTAAGAAAAGGTGTTATATATAATGAGATTTATTTTAAAGTTTTTTCAATTCTTTGTGTTAGAGTGCCACTTTAAACATCACAAATAGTAAACAAATGTAATTACCTTTGTTCTTAATAAAAGTTTAGATAATTAAAAACAAGGAATTTTTAAAATCCAAATAACCTTTCATTATTTATGCTTTTAACTTACTGCACTTCTCAACTTTCTAGGTCAGTTTTTCTTTTTTCCATGATTAGATTCATTTTCATATGCTCAGCGCTGTCATCTTTAGGATGCAAACATTGCAGGGGAATATCTGTTTAGAATAGGCCTGGGCAAAATAAGGTGCATGGGCTGGATCCAGCCCACAGTCACAGCAGGAAGCCTTAGGCAGACTCTCTGCCTGCCTCTCCCACCCCGCATGCTGCTCAGAAAAGAGGCTGCTGGGCCATTTCTCTTTCGCAGCTGTGGGAGCGAAGGGGGGAGAGGCTTCATGCACTGTCCCCGCCCCAGCACAATCCCATTGACCGGTTTCTGGCCAATGGGAGCTTCCTGTTTGAATAACAGGCAGAGCACAAAGCACCCTCCCCCTTCGGGCTCTTATTCACTGACACACATGGCCCCACAGTCTGTGCAGGAGTAAAGCAGGCAGGGAGGCTGCCTGAGAACCCTGCTGAGCTGCTAGCTGGGAGTTGCCCAGGTAAGTCTCCCAGCCAGAGCCTGCCTCTGGCACCCCTGCCCCTTCCTCCCCTTCCGCAAGCCTCTGCCACCCCACATAACCCAAACTCTCTGCCCCCCTCTTGAATCCATACCCCCCCTCTCCCAGATCCTACATCCCAATTCCCTAGCCCAGATCACAACCCCTTACTGCCCTAGGTCACAACCCAATCCCTGGACCTCCTCCTGCACTCCAATCCCCTATCCTAGGTCACAACCCAAACCCCTGCAAACCAATCTCTTGCCCCAGGTCACAATCCCTTCCTGCCCTAGGTCACAACCAAAAACCTTGCACCTCCCTCCTGCACCCCAGGTCATAACTGCTTCCTTCACCCAAACTCCCTCCCAGACCCCATATGCCCTCCTGCACTCAACCTCCATCCCAGACCCGGCACTTCCTCCACTAATATCATGAAAGAGCACGGCCCTTGACCACGTTCCAAAATCTTGCCCACCCCTGATTTAGAAACTGCTAGTCTACTCTTGTTACTCTGGAGTTCAAATTTGCAAATACTACTACTATGGCTACTAGTATTGCTGTGGCAATTAGGGGCTCTAATTAGTATTATTTTACCAACCTCATAATAAAAAACAACAAGTGCACATTGTTAAGGGCAATTAAGAATGCAACTTAATCTAACAAAAAATAAAAATGGGTGACTAATTACTCAGATCTACTTTAATTTTTTTTTAAAGCTAGCACTCTTTAATCACACTAAGCCAGATCTCCAGCCTCAATGTGGCTGCACTGTGCTGCAGGAAGCTTGACACAGAGGAATCCTTGAAGTAGTCACCACTTCCCCAACACCATTATGAAGGTGGTACATCATGATAGAGAAGCATAGAAAGGGTGTCATAGAACACACAGTACTTCATCTGTTTCTTGGCTAGTGCAGCTGCCACATAGGTACTGCTGCACTGGGTGTAACTTACAATAGCTCTTTGCCCATTTTGACTTCCTGGTCAGCTCAGGATTAAGGGTAAGAAAGAGTAGCAGAAGCCACTTTTCATTTTGACAAGAACAATGTGCTGCAATTAACTTATTTCATATTTTAAAAAGGCAGAATTTAGGAAAAAGTATAATTTCACTGATGTTTTGGGGGTTTTTATAAAAAGATGTGATTTTTTTTGGGAGAAAGATAGAAAATAAGTGTTTTAAATACTATGTTTAAAAATAAACAAGGCAGACAGACCTGATCACACAAGTCAAGGTTTATTGTACCTTCCTCCCTCCCTCCCCCCATCTGCTGCCCTCGTAACAGATGTAGTGATGAATTCAGCTAAAATAATTTGTTAGTTTTCAGAAAGGCTTCTCTGAAATCTTAATTTTTACATTTCTCCTTCCCCAAAAAGAGAACACCAGGAGAGTCAACCCTCCAAACCAGGCAAGTTGGATGCAACTCTCTACAAAAGCCATTAAATCAACTCTGAAAATATTAGTGATGACACTGCAAAAAAGTACGAAATATTACAAGTCTCTGGTGATTTGGAAACTGGAAGTCTCCCAGATCTTTTTATGCAACGCAGACAAATTGCTCCAGAGCAATCAAACCCGCCCTATTTAAAATGCTGGACATTTATCAGAATTGTTCCCTAAAAGCCACTTGTTAGATTTTTCTATGAAGCTGACGTTGAAAGCTGACGCCCACTCTCTTTCCACTCTTGTTCTCTGGAACGCAGAACTCAATGAGTTGTTGTATTTCATTTACAGAATTGTAAAACAGGTTGCTAAAATACTTCTATACACATATAGCTGCTACCTACCTTGTCCAGTTTGACATCTTCGACCACTTTCAAAAGAAAAGAGATTTGAATCATAGCCGTAGCGACGAAGACAGAGGTAGTGCCATTTTACGGAATCCCGTTTACGGGTGTATAAAATTAGTTCTGTATCTGTAAGTTCCATTATGCCAGAACCCAGTTCGTTTCCATCATCATCTACATTAATGACCTTGAAAATAAGAGTTATATACCATTACATAAGCTTCTTGAACATTTCATTAACATACAGCACCTGACCCATTAAATACAAAATTGAAATGCTTATCTATCGGGATGGGCAATAATTTTTAGAAGTGGACCACTTCACAAATTTCTGAAGTGGACTGGGCTGCCCCAGAAGACATGGGGCCTTCGGCAGAAGGGGTAGGGCCAGGAGACTTCTCGTGCTCCCCTGGCCACAGACCCTGATTGGCTTCCCCTAGTGCCTAGAGAAAATCGACAGGTGTTTTAAAACTTCACACACTCCCCCTGCCCCTAGGCCAATCAGGTCCTGGAAAGTAGGGGGAGCATGCGAAGTCCCTTGCCTCCTGCCTCTGCCCCCTCAGAGCCGAGCAGCAGCAGCTAGAGAGAACCACTGGCTATTTTAAAACAGCTGATGGTTGCCTTTGTTGCCCCATGCCCCTGGCAGGGGAGGAAACTTTGCATGCTCTCCTGGTGGCGGGAGAGAGGCAGGGTGGCTGCAGACAGGATCCACCAGCCAGATGCAGCCCACAGAGGCTATCTTGCCCACCTCTGTTATAGCTGCTGCTGAGATACATGAAAGTGTTTTGTTTTCAAAAATAGTTAAACCTGTAATGTTTTGTAAAAGCTAGGTCAGGAAGTGCTAAGTCTCTAGATGAAAATATTTGCTTATCTTTAAAAAAAATGGGCATATTTAAATCAATGTGAATCAAAGGACACAGGTCATTACTATAATTTGTTACTTCAACACTACAAAAGTTTGAAGCAGAAAGATAAGTCCAATAAATCTAAGTGGCTGGTTTTTTTAAATATCTGCATTAAAACTGTCACCACATCCTCTTTTGGTTCCACTTTGTCTCTGATAGAATTTGGACAATCCCCACTTATTCAAAATGTAACAGCCCCTACTTTGGTGCCTTTTGTCCCAACCAATAGAAAGACTGGTTACAATGAACTTTTCCTCTTAAAGAGGGACGTTGTCCAACTGAAATCCAGTAATTTTTTTAAAAAGTAGTATTTGAAATTGCCACTATGGCACCTAATATTTCTATGGTTTCAAATAGTCGTCCCCCTCCCCCCCGCCCCCCAAACAACAGGGGAGTTAAATATACTGAGGGAAAAGAGAAATTGAGTATCAAACAAAAGGATGTCAAAACATGCTTATTAGGTTCTATTTATAACACTATGTAAAACTATCTTAACATTAATATGGCACTTAAGAGAACAGCATCCCCTTTTGTTCATGATGGAAAACACAGCTGTTCTCCTTGGCATTTCAATAAGACAATCTGGTTCAGAAAATCAAATATTAATCTTTCATAACTGGACAAAATGAAGTCACTGGGACTACTTATGGTTAAGCACATACATAAAAGTATCTGTGGACTTAAAACTCCTAGGAATTTTTTTGAATGTAACAACAAGCACTTGGAAATAGCACTTCTTCAAGCAAAGCAAGTTCTCAAAAATGCTACATTAAGACAGAACTTCTGTTTAAATGGAGACACGCTAATCAAGAATTACATTAGACACATGGCTTAACACCCTTATACAAGACCAGAGATCTATGAATGTTCAAAAACAGACCTGTTTAAAATATTCCTTTTACTGAACCTAATATAGCACTATTCAGGGATAAAGAAGAATTTATAGCCACACAAAGTGGTAAGTTTCTGATGGCTTGATTTTCATAAACTTTACAAACACTTTCTTCATTCCAATTCTTATAGCTAGATTGTATTTGCAAGGGAATGACAAAAGTTTTCAACATAACAAATCAATTGCTTACCTTAAATTTGTTTCGATGGTTGTCTGGGACTGTCTCTTTATCTGGACAGCTACAACAGCTACCCATGACTTCTTTAGAAGACCATGTAATCTCTAGAGCCAAAAAGAAAGTGGTAATTTAATAGGGGAAAGGAGCACAATAATTCCCAGCATGGATTGATTTAAATCAGAGATATCAACAATTTTAATCATGATTTAAATCAGCAAACTTTGACTTAAGTCATTGAGGGTTTTTTTGCATTTGTTAATTTCCTAACAAAGATTATTTAATGATATAATCATTAAACATGTTCATTTTCAACGACAAATATAGCCTTTATACTAAATGTGGTACTTGCTGCTTATCCGGAGTATACATTATATCTGTTCACATTTATTTAAGCGATATAGCGTAACAATGTAAAAATGAGTAATCTGAAATATTATGTTAGAAAACAGTTAATGGTAAATGTATTTACTAAAATAATATTTTAGTCATTGTTTGAATCAAGTTGTACTTACATGGAAACTGAAATTCAGTTAATTTTAAAATTCTGTTTTTAAATTAAACAAAAAAACCTTAAATATGCTAGCTATATAAGGGAAAAAGTAAGTTTACTTAAACGTGTTATGTACTGTATTTAAAACTGATTGATTAAACAAAAGAAATATTTGTAGTTAATTGAACTGGTAGTGCAATATTAGTGATCAGAAACTAATACACTGACATTGCTCCTTGAGATGACAAATGTCTGACATATTTTGCAGCACCCAGATAAGCTATTATAAAAATATTTAAAAGTTACATAATTATAACATTCCTTTTTAAAATTGTATTTTCTAACAATATGACTTAAAAAAAGAACGTCTGTAGGAAGTTGTGAGAATCCTGCTACAAGTAAAAATTACAGTAACCAATAGACTCATTTGAGCTGTGAATTGAATTCACATTGAATTCTCATTTGCAAACATTTCCTGATGAGATCCTTACCCATCTCTCTACCCTTTTTACTGAGCTAAAAGGCTCTAAAAACCCCACTTCTCGCTCAGGGAGAATTTCCCCAGCACAGGCACACAGACTCCAGCTACAGAGTAGGCAACACTCAAGTCCCTTGAGCATCTCTGGAACGCTGTCCTAAACGTTAGGCACGCCCCAGTGTTGTCTGAGTTACATCAAGGACTTCTCCAGCATTCAAAGCATCCTAGTATTGGCAGAGCCTTGGAAATAGAGCACAGAATCTCATTCAAGAATGCTGGAGCTCGAGAGGGCGTAGGCCGTGGAGTCTATCGATGCAGCTCATTTATTTTGAGGAAGTATTCTTGAAAAAAACAATTATGAAAGGTAGCTATAATGCAGACGGATATTAAAGTTAATACAAATTAGGACATTTTGCAACAGAAATTCTCATAATTTATTGAAATTTTCTTGCAAATTTTCTTGAAATCATGTGCTCCACAGAGCGCTTCCAGATGGGTACAGAGCTACAAGGATACTGTAGCTTCCTATGCCAAATCTTAGAGATTCCTTCAAGCTCTTTGACAAACGGACAACAAAATTAGGCAGCAGTAATACATTCACTCAGTGTCTTTCTCCGGTGTAAAGATTACATTAATCAAGGTTGTTAACAGCAAATTTGAAGGATGCAAAAATAAACTGCAAAATAAATTGCAAGAGCAGTGGTTAAAAGGCCAACAGTATGGAAATTTGAGAACTGGTGGAACTCAACTTAATTCACTCACCTAGATTTGGCCATTAATATTCCTAGCCTCTGTTGCAGCATCAGGACTTCTGTCATACTTCAAAATGGCATGCTGTCTTCTCACATAAACAAACATTTGAACTAAAAAAAAAAAGGGGGGGGGGGAGGGGAGTTTAACCACTTGCCTTTATACATACAGTACTTTCCTTCAGCAGAAACTTACTATTAATGTGCATTTATACATAGTCAACACTGTATTTTGGAGACATTGTACAGGCAGTCCCCGGGTTACGTGGATCCGACTTACGTCGGATCCCTACTTACGAACGGGGTGAGGGAACCCCAAACTAGCTGCGCCTTCCCCCCTCCCCAGCAGATCAGGCTTTTCTCGCCGTGGAGGACACGGGCGGCGGGACCGCCGAGACACGCCGCGGTCCTGCCGCCCGCGTCCTCCGCGGCTTCGAAAGCCACTCCGCGTCTCCCTGGTCTACTGGGGGGGGAGGGCGCAGCTAGGGCACCCCCCCCCC